CACCGGAGCTCTCTGGGCGTGGGGCGGCTCAAAACGGATCGGTTCCCTGCCCCGTGGCACACCGAGGGGTTTGCCCACACCGCCAGTTCGGCAGTGCCACATTCCTTGTTTGCACAGGCAAGATGGAGCCTGAATTCCTCGAGTGCTGGAGGCTGGAAGAGTTTAGCTTCCTCCCCATCAGCTGCCTCAGCCCCTGAGGAGAGCAGTGAGCAATGAGGAAAGTCATTAGCACAGGCTCTAGGGGCATTTGATAACTTGCTTTTCGTTTTCTCCTTCCAACCCCACAAGGCACAGCTCTGCGTTCAAAGCCTGAGCCCTCTGAGCTTTGCTTTTCTGCTATGATTTGTGTCCCACAGTGCACAGAGTGTCCCTGGGCTGACAGTTCCGCAGGAGAAACTTCATGCAATGAAAGCTGCTGCAGGAAGAACTGTTGGAGCTGCTCAGCCTTAAAGGGAGGACAGCTAGTCAAGAGAAGGTTTTCTAAATAGTGAAAGAATTCAGCAGTGAGTTTAACTCCTGGGAGGGATGAAATCTCCAATCCCCAGGGCTGTAGAACCAGACTGAGTGGTTTTATGCTGCGTTGCCATTGCACAATGGATGAAACCTCTAAACGGTGACAGTGGAGGAGAGAATCAAGTGATTTCTGTGAGAACACATAATTTAAACTCTTGTCAGGGCAGGAGGTTCCTCCCTGAACAAGCAACAGTCCCTGGCTAAAGGTGGGGAAACAAGATGAGAGTGAGTTTAACCTGAGGCTCTCTGAGACAGAAGTGAGGGGGAGGCACAAAGCAGCATTTTTCTGGGTGGTTCATTCATTTCTCTTTTTTCATTTCTGTCTCAGCACAGAGAGAAAAAACCAATCAGGAACATATGGAGAACGAGCAGGAGCAGCAGCTCAGTGCTGAGGTTACCTGAAATGGCTTTAGACCCACAGCTCATTCACACCTCCCAAATGGCATTAGGCAGGTGCAGATTTGTCTTATGAAATGTTTTGTTTTACCCTTCTAAGCTCTAATAAAGCAGAACTTGCCACAAGTGACAGGGAGCAAAGCTGCCTGGAAGGCCCAGATGGAAACTGCTTGGAACCTGCTGGAACGGGAGGTTTAGTTTGGAAACAAAAAGGATTAACGTAGCAGAAAAGGTTACAGCAACGTGTATTTCATGAGGCTGAGGCTGCTCCAGCACAGACTGCAAAGTCAGGTCCGTTTTCTCTCAGTGTTTGTTAGCACTTGGAATAAACCACACCAAACTGCACCAAACGTTGGTGCCTGGAGAACAGGAGGCTCAGGGAGGGCCTTGTCTGGGCAATGGTACCTGAGCTTCAGCCTGGGTGATGAAGCTCGCCAGGGTGTCAAACAATGCTGCAACCACATCAGGCTCAGCTGCTACTGCATCCTTCTGGTTCCCAGAGTTCCAGTCCTGTCTCCTTAGCACGGAATCACATAATGTTTGGGTTGGAAGGAGCTTTATTTTTAATAAGACAAAGACCATTAGGGCAAAACCTGGAAGTGACAGCTCTTCACACCTGTGGTTCTTTGGGACATCCCATTGTGCCTCATCCTTTCGCAGGATCCTTAACCTTCTCCCCAAATATGAAGTGGTTTCTCCACCCTTGGAGATGCTCCAAAGCTGTCTGGACGTGGTCCTGGGTCACCCTCTGTCCTGCTGGCCCTGCTGGAGCTTGGTCCTTCAGAGAAGTTGCAGATGACCTTCAGAGGTGCCATTCCTTGATCCTGTGGTGGTGGAAGGTGAATGCAGTTTGCTCTCAGACCTTCTCCACTGGCCCCAGGGCTTGTGGCTTTCGTGATACTGTGAGTTTTGTTGTGGTGTCCCACAGGCAGAAGAGTCATGAGAAGAAAGAGAGCAAAGGCTGTTGGTTCTCTGTTTCATGGGAAACATAAAGAAGTCTCTAAATTTGAAGATCTTGAACTTAACTCGTAACTTCTTAGGAATTCCTGTGTGGAGTCATAAGTCTGAGACACCTCTGACCTGGAAATTCCACTTCCTCCAGCTTGGAATTCTCACTGACATTTGGAACTTGGTTATTTTTCACTTGAAGTGTTTTCATTTTATTGAGTGCAATTAGTAACCGAAATTATTTCTTCCCTTGCTGCCAATCACTGGCTCTGAGTGGGGCTTGGCTGAGCACCCAACAGGCCAGAACAGATGGGGGAGGAGGTTCTTTCTCTGAAGTGCATTTCTGCATCTGCAGCATCACTGGCTGTGGTTCTCTTACCCAGAGACTGATGCTGCAGCCAAAGCGTCTGGCAAAGGCTTTGGAATGGGAATGTGCCACGTGCACGAGTGATGAATTACCCAAATCATCCCAACCACTGCAGCATTGTCTCTGCTCTGCTATTGTGGGGGTGAAATGGGAACAAAAGGGCAATTTTGAGATGTCTTTCTTAGTTTGATGAGTCATTTCTCCTTCTGATTGCAGAACCTGCAGGGTCAGGGATGGATTTAAGTCTTTGTGGTGAATTCTCTCAGAGCTTGGTGAGGGAAAACACTCTTGGAAGGAGTTTACAATCACCATTTACCTTTTGCCTCATGGCAGCACCTTGGAGTACACACAGAGGACAGTCCTGCACCACAGACTGGTGTAACACAAGATGAGGTGGTCTGAGGACACCATCTCACCTCCCCTGGAGAGCACACAGGGCACAGTGACCCCTCACCAGGGAGTTCTGTCACTCACACGAACCAAACTCCAGATCCTCCTGCGGATCTGCTTGGTCCTCACCCCGTAGATGATGGGGTTGAGCACAGCAGGCATCAGGACGTAGATGAACCCCATGGTGACGTGGACCATGGGAGGCAGGTCCCTCCCGAACCTGTGCACCACGGAGAGCCCAATCAGGGGCACGTAGAAGGCCAGGACCACACAGCCATGGGCCACACAGGTGCCAAATGCCCGGAGCCTGTCCTGCCAGGCCGCCAGGCGCAGCACAGCCCTGAGGATGAGGCTGTAGGAGAGGCAGATGAGAAGAGCATCAAGCCCCATGACCAGCAGGATGGCAGTGAGGCCATACACCATGCTGGGGGTGGTGCTGCCACACGCCAAGTTCATCACGTCCTGGTGCAGGCAGAAGGAGTGGGACAGCCCCCAGGGGCCACAGAAGGGAAGGGGCAGGAGGAGCAGAGGCAAGGGCAGGAAGAAGAGGACTGCCCTGGCCACGGCCAGCAGCCCAAGGCTGGCTGTGGACGCGTTGGTGAGGACGGCGGCGTGTCTCAGGGGGTGGCAGATGGCCACGTACCTGTCCACGGCCATGGCCAGCAGCACTGAGGACTCCACGGCTGAGAGGCTGTGGATGAGGAACATCTGCAGCAGGCAGGCTCCAAAGCTGATGTCCCTGGCCTGGAGCCAGTAGGAGCAGAGTGCCCGTGGCACGGTGCAGGTGGCCAGGGCCAGGTCGGTGGCCGCCAGCATGCAGAGGAGCAGGTACATGGGGGTGTGCAGGGTAGGCTCCAGCCTCACCACCACCAGCACTGAGCTGTTCCCCGTGACTGCCACAAGGTAGGCACAGCAGAGCAGCAGGGACAGCCAGCCCTGGGAAGCCTCCAGCCCCGGGATGCTGGCCAGGAGGAATGAGGGGCTGAGGGCAGAGCTGTTGGGGAAGGGCATGGCCTGGGGTGAGAGAGGTGTCATGCCATGCCAATCCCTGCTGCAAGGCAAGCACAAACAGCAGCTTTACAAACCCTTTCCCAAGGCTGATGGACCTCAGGAATGTGTTCAGTCATGTGAGTGGGAAGTGCCAAGAGGATGGACCCAAACTCTGCTCAGTGGTGGAAACCAATCGAACAAGAGGTAACAGCAGGAACTGATGCTCAGGAAGTTCCACCTGAACACGAGGAAGAACTACTTAGAATACTGAAACTTAATTGCACAGACTGAGCTCACTATGAGGCTGTTCAGACACTGAAATATTGGCCAGGGAGGTGGTGGAGTCACCAGTCCCGGAGGTGTTCAAGAGGTGTCTGGATGTGGCACTGGAGGATCTGGTCTAGGGTTTGGGAGGTCCAGCAGTGGCAGGTTAATGGCTGGACTGGATGATTTGAGAGGTCTCCCCCAACCTTGATGATTCAATGATTCTATGATTCGTCCCTGTGCAGTGACCAGGCACTGAACAGATTGCCCACAGAGGTGTGGAGTCTCCTCACTGGAGATACTGCAGACCCATCTGGACATAATCCTATCCCATGTGCTCTGGGGTGGCCCTGCTTGGGCAGGGAGGTGGGACCAGTGACCCACTGTGGTCATAGAGTCACAGAATTTTAGGGGTTGGGATGGAGCTCAGAGATGATCCAGCCCCAACCCCTGCCCTGGGCAGGGACACCTCCCACCAGAGCAGGTTGCTCAAGGCTCATCCAACCTGGCTGTGAACACTGCCAGGGTTGGTGCCTTCCAGCCTGACCCATCCTGTGACTCTGTGATTGCCCCAGTCCCATGGGTTGGTGCCTGTTGGATGCCCCAGACTGATGCAGAGAGTTCCTCTCCCAGCTCTACTCCCCAGTGTGGCTCTGCAGCAGCAGCTGCAGTGAACAAATGACACTTGACTGTGAGCAGAACTTGCCTGGATCCTTTTGAAGGCAGAGCAGCACCAAATCAACATTTAAAACACTAACCCCAAGAGGTGAACTCTTGCTTCTCTTTTTAAAGGGCAGAATCGCAAATATTAACAAGCCCAGCAGCTTTTTAGTGCTGCCTCTCACACCCGAGTGCAGCCTGAGCTCTCCCCTGTGGCTGTGCTGCCCGGCAGGGAGGAGCTCAGTGGGGCTGGAGCCTTCTCCCCCTGCCCAGAGCTGCTCCAGGCACAGGCAGGCACAGACACCTGCATCTCTGTGCACATATAAACTGGGTTTTCCCCCTTTCAGCCTGAAAACACATGGAAAAAATTAGAATATCTGTAGTGAAAAAAAATAAGTGGATTATGATTCAATGATTCTTCACCTTGTGTGTCTGCAAATCTCCCAGGAGTGCTGAGGTCCAAGGGGAGTGGGCAGGAGAAGCTGGAAAAGCCTTTGCTTTAGGTGCCTTTCTGCCCTCAGGCACTGGGTGAGTACCTGGCTGTCCCTGAGCTGGAATCAATCCCCATATCCCCTGCCCTGCACAACACCTGAGCTCCCTGCTCATTCCTTTCACCCCAGTCCGTGGAAATCAATGCTGGAAAGTGCTCTTCTGGCACAACCTGCAGGTTATTGGTGCAGTTATCGGTGGCAACACTGGGCTGTGATAACGTGGGGGTTTTAGAGCTGAAACCCCAGATAGCATCAGACTTTATTCCCCTGCTCTGGGGCTTTTACATCTTGGATCTGGAACAAATAAGACTCATATTACGGCTTTTTATACCCAATTTCCTCCTGCTGTGGGTGGATTTGTGCTGTCACAGTGCCCAGGAGCTATTCCAGGGATGCCACTGGCTGCAAAGCACTTTGCAGTGAGAGGCAAAGTGAAGCCTCAAAGCCCCAACAGGTGCCTGAGGCAGCTTGGTTCAGCACTGGGGGTGATCACGGCTGATCCCCCTGGGAATCTCTGCCCTCCTGTTGTGCCTCTGGGGGAATGAGGCTGTGGCACACTGCAGACCATCCCTGGTGCTGCAGCTCATCACTCCCTGGCACTGATCAAGGCACCTGTGTGCTCAGGAGTGGCTCAGGGTTGCTGGAGGGATCTCAACCAGCTGCTGGGAGGGATTGGCTGTGTAGGGATGAAAACTGCATCTGTGTCTTTAAAACACTAATAGATGCAGGTTTATTTCCCTAGGGGAATCCTCCCATCCCCAGGAACCTCCTTTAACAGCAGGTGAGCACCTTCAGGGAGCAAGTCCCTCCAAGCCAGAGGACCCTAAGCAGCAGCTACGGCAGCTCATCCCAGAGAATCACGGAATCACACGCGGGTTTGGGTTGGGAGGGAGCTTAAAGCCCATCCCATCCCACCAGCCCAGGCTGCTCCAAGCCCCATCCAGCCTGGCCTGGAACACTCCCAGGGATGGAGCAGCCACAGCTGCTCTGGGCAACCTGTGCCAGTGCCTCAGCACCTCACAGGGAGCAATTCCTGCCCAATGTCTGTCCTACCTTTCTCTCCTCCTCTCCAACAGATGCCTCTGACACATCTCCCACTGCTCCTCCTGTGCCTCCTAGGGAACAAAGCCATGGGCAAGGACCATCAGTGCTCCCATGGCCCAAAGCAGAGCCCTTGGAGCATCACAGGGTAGGACAGAGCAGCTCTAATGGTTCCTCTCTCTCTGTTTCTCTCACACAGGTGTCAAACCACCACTAAATTCCCAATGCCAAGAGGCAATCACAGAGGTTTGGAACATCCATTCCCAAAGGCAGTGCCTTGTGTGATGGTTCCTAGCCCTGAGTGGCTGCATGGCATGGAATGGCTCGGCACCACACACCCTGTGAGCCTCTCTGCTCTCCAGCTGTGCTGGCAGATGTGCCAATACACCCCCACAATTGCCCTCCCTGTCCCCACAAACCTTTTCTTACTCTGCCAGAGGATCCTTGGGCTTTGCTGTTTGGGGGAAAGACTCCAGCCAGGAGGCACCAACAGCCAGGGAGGAGTTCTGGACATTTCAGACAGGAGCAACCTCAGAGTCATCTCAGAGCTATGAACCTGCAGTTCCAGAGTGCTGTGTGAGCTGCTGCTGGGCAGGGGTGGCCCCAGCCAAGCTCTTCTCCTTCAAGTTCTTCCCTTATACTAATCTTCCCAGGTTAACCCACAGATATTTGAGCACTGGGATCCCCTGGTGCTATCCCAGTGCTCCCCAGGGCCAGGCAGAGGTCCTGGGGGCTGGTGCTGAGCAACATCTCATCCTGCAAGGGCTCACTGGGACCTTCAGCGAGATAATGAGCACAACACGGAGCAAACAGTGGCCTGGGAATGCTCCCCCAGGAACCTTCCCTGATCCTCTTATGGATGTTATGGAGATGTTTATAGAATCATAGAACTTTCAGGAGTTGGAATGGACCTTACAGACCCACCCAGCCCCAACCCCTGCCCCGGGCAGCGACACCTCCCACCAGAGCAGGTTGCTCGAGGTTTCATCCAACCTGGCTGTGAACACTGCCAGGGTTGGGGCAGCCACAGCCTCCCTGGGCAACCTGGGCCCGTGTCTCACACCTGGGCCAGTGTCTCACTGCAGCTCATGGTGAGCTTCTCATCCATTATCACTCCCAAGTCTTTCTCCTCATTGCTGGTCTCAGTTACTTCCCCACCCAACCTGTAGCTGTGCCTGGGATTGCCATGCCATGGCCGTAGTACCTTGCACTTGTTCTCTCATTAGCTTCTCTCTATTCCAACTCTGTGTGGAGCAGAAGAGACACCAGTCTGGGCTGGGCTGGAGGGTGCAGTGCGCAGCAGAAGGCAAGAACAGACCAGTTGGGGTGTGAGATCCTGCCCTGATCCCTCTGCAGCTTCACTGTTCCAAGGGGAGAACTGAGTGCTGCTGCTGATTCTCCACCATGGCCAAGCCTGGCCAAAGTGTGGGTTAAAAGCAGCAAAAATAGAGCTCTGTGAAAGGAGAGCAATGAAATATGCACGATTGGACATGGCACTCAGTGCTCTGGGCTAGTTGACAAGTGGTGATGGGTCACAGCTTGGACTGGATGGTCTTGCGGAGCTTTTCCAACCTTAATTCTGTCGTTCTGTTCTATGATTTTGAGGCATTTTAGTCTGTCTGTGTCAGGACATGACCAGGAGGACCAGGAAACCTCTCTGCACTCCTGGCTGAGACCCAACCACAGCAGAGCTGGAGATGCTGGAACACACCATCACCTCCCACCTGTGGATTCCCCTGGAGATCCCCTCCCACCCCTCTGGGGGCACAGTCAGTACCTGGCAGATCCCAGTGCGAGGACACAGCACATGGCTCTGAGAGTCAGGAATTTTAGCCATTCCATGATGTTTTGAACCCTTTTTTCCCCAAGAGCTGCTGCCCCCACAACCCCCAAATCCACCTCACAGACCTCACTCAGAGTCCTGCTCCTCTGCTGCCAAGCCTGGGGATTTCAAGCAACTCCAACCTACTATCTTAGGAAAAAAAGAGGCTAAATCAAGTTCTGTGACCTCTCACAAGGAGCCGATGTGTTTTATTGGAGGTGCTGCACACACACCACACTCAATGCAGACAGGGCTGGGACAGAGCACGTGGTGAGCTGCTCGGGCTCACTGACAGCTGAAAGAGAGGCACAAAAGGATGGAGATGGCACTTGCCGAGCACTGAGGGCGGCTGAGTGTTTGGTTTGGGAGGGCTGTGAGTGCTGAGGCCCTTCACAGGACCTGCTCACCCTCTGGAGCTGAGCTCCACCTTGTGGGATGTTTCCAGCTGCACAACCACTGACTGGAACACTCACGGAGGCTCCGAACTATTGGCCCAGGCCCTGTCCTGGGGAGTTTGCTGCTGGGTTAGCTGTGCTGTGATGCTCTGACGGGACCATGAGGGTCTCTCAGGGGAGGTTACACCTTATCTGCCACCTCTGCCTCACATGAGATAGAAGTTCCTTGGAGTCATCTCATGACTTGAAAATAGGTCATGCAGACCATTTTTAATTGTCTCCCTCTAATTGAAGCGTCCGAATGGATGTATCATTAATGCCCAGGGTGTCTGCAGGCTGCTGGAAGGGCTGAAAGCATCGTATTAGGTCACAACATCTAAGTTCACAGGTCTGGGTTGAGGGACAGAGTCCAAGTGGATCTGCAGTTCTTTCCTCTGGCAGTGACCTGCTGTGTGGATGGAGCACCGAGAAACCTGCCCTGGAGTTCTGGCCAAGAAACCAGTCCAGGAGCTCTGACCAAGAAACCAGTCCAGGAGTTCTGGCCAAGAAACTAGTCCCAGAGCTCTGCCCAAGAAAGCAGCAGCCCCTTCTGGCAGAGTTGGTGGGGGAAGCTACCAGACAGTCCCACTCTTCCTCCGCAGCACCCTGAGCAAAGCCTTCCGGATGTGGCTGGACTTTATGCTGTAGATGACAGGGTTGAGAGCAGGAGGGATGGTGAGGTATGTGTAGGCCACCAGAGTGTTCACCAGAGGAGGAACATTCCTCCCGAAGCGATGGATCATGGAGAGTCCGATCATGGGGATGAAGAAGACGAGGACAGCGCAGATGTGGGACACACAGGTGTTGAGAGCCTTGAGGGTCTCCTCCCTGTTGGCCAGGCTGAGCACGGTCCTGAGGATGAGGATGTAGGACACCACGATGAAGACAAAGTCCATCCCCACCGTGGTCAGGAGGATGATCATGCCGTAGAAGACATTGACCTTGATGTCTGCACACGCCAAGTTCATGATGTCAGGGTGAAAGCAGAAGGAGTGGGAGAGCTCAGTCCTGCTGCAGTAGGTGAGTCTCCGGAGCAGGAAGGGGATGGGCAGCAGGGACACCACCCCCCTGAGCACGATGGCCAGAGCTATCCTGAGCACGGTGGTGCTGGTGAGGATGGAGCGGTGCCGCAGAGGGTGGCAGATGGCCACGAAGCGGTCAAAGGCCATGGCCAGCAGCACCGAGGACTCGACGAAGGACAGGATGTGGATGAAGTACATCTGGGTGAGACAGGCATCAAAGCTGATCCTGCGCAGGTGGAACCAGAGCAGCCCCAGCGTGGTGGGAAGGGTGCACAGAGCCAAGCCCAGGTCGGTCACTGCCAGCATGGCCAGGAAGTAGTACATGGGCTCGTGGAGGCTTTGGGTCTTCCTGATGATGAAGAGGATGATGCAGTTGCCCAGGAGAGCAGCCAGGTAGAGGACACAGAAGGGGATGGAGAGCCAGGGCTGGAGAGACTCCAGGCCGGGGATGCCCATCAAGAAAGCTGAAGGTTGGGAGAAGGAGCTGTTCGGTTCCCACGTGGGCTGTGAGTCAAGATCCATCCCAGCTCAGCTCTGGCATACCCCAGACCTGAAAGAGACCAACATCAGCTCCATTCCAGCTCAGCTCTGCCATGGCCCAGACCTAAACCAAACCAACAGCAACTTCACACAGTTGGGTTCTCCACTGAGCAGAGAAGTCCCACAGGTCTCCACCTCCTCTCCAAGCTGGGCAGGTACCCTGGGCTGAATAGGCATGGTTAGAGATACCACAGTGTCACACGTGGCTGCACTCTGAGCAATCCAGCACATCCTAAAACAAAGGCAAAGGATGGACAGCAGAGCATGGCAGGAGCATGAGAGGCAACAGGTATACGTTGGAACAAGAGAGGTTTAGACTGAGTAAAATGTTTCTCCTTGAGGACTATCAAGCATAGACTCATCAGTGTGGGAGGAGCAAGCATTGCTCCTTAAGCATCAGAGCAGGTTGCTCACAGGTTGCACATCTCATCCTTAGAAGGTTTCTAGACCCAACTAGACAAAGCCCTGAGCAGTCTTGTCTGAGCTGACATTTAGCCCTGCCTGGAGCAGGAGGTTGGACTAGAGAACTCTTAAAAGTCTCTCCATCCCGAATCGTCCAGTGAGCCTTGGCACAGCCCAGGGTCCTACACTGCCTGGGACAGTGCACCCAGCAGACAGGCAGGAAGGCTGACACGGTCCCCGAGTCTCTCTGTGACAGGATGACTCTCTGGGTGGATGGAGAAAAGCAGCAAATGTGCAAACCAGGAGCTAGTTGAAGGAGGAAAACATTTGTGCCTCAGCCTTGCTGCACCTTCTGTGTCTGTGACACACAACAGTCACTGTGAGCCTGAGCTGTGAGCCAGAGGCTTCACTGAGCTCAGCTGAGCTCTGAGCAACACTCAGTTCCTCCATGATGTATTTATTATGCTCCTAATGTGATTTTGCTTCATTAGATTCTCAGCTCGAGAGTCTAATGTGGCAATAAATCCCAAAGCTCAGCGAGGACAAATGTCCTCCTTGTGCTCTAGGGCAAAGCAACAGGTAAGGGATGGGGAAACTCAGAATTAAAGTGGTTTGATTTCCTCCAGGCAAGGCAGAGACACATGTTGGTACCAGGAATCACCTTGACCTGTAGCTCTGCCGTGTCAGGTGCTGAAGGGACAAGTCACAGCCCTTCAGGAGAGCCTTGGCAGCTCATGGGATGGCTCAGATGTGGGTGGGCAGGCACTGCCTTCCCCGGGGCATCCACAGGGCTGGGAGGTGGCAAAGGAAACTGTCAGAGGTACCTCTGGTCCTCACTGGGGGCTTAGAGCTCTCCCTTTCTCCCAACCCAACAGCAACTGGAGGGTGCTGAGGCACTGGCACAGGGAGTGAACCAGGCCAGGTTGGAGCAGCCCGGGCTGGTGGGAGGTGTCCCTGCCCAGGGCAGGGGTGGGAATGGATAAACTTTAAGGTCCTTCCCACCCAACCCATTGCAGTGCTGTGAAATCAACGTGCCAAATCCAGTCCCTTGTGTGTTAAAGGGCTGAAGAATCCCTAGAGTGTGCAGGGCTCTGTCCCTCTGTCCCTGCCTCTCTGTGTCCCTCGGAGCAGCCTCTGGCACATGTCCAGAGCTCTTAGGGGCACTGAGAGCCAACAGCTTTCCAGGGATGTGGAGGTGGATGCAGAGGAAAAGAAAGGAAAGGAGAGTAGTGAGAGCCTCTGGGGCTGCAGGGGATGCTCCAACCTCCCCTCAAAGCACTTGGGCAGACACAGAAGTTCCTTAGGAATGGGATTGGTTCACTCTGCTCTCTCTGACATAGATCCTGCTCCCGGAGGGTTTCATCCCTCCATGTCTCATGTCTGTGTGTCTGGAAATGAGATGTATCAATATATACACACAGAGTGGATAGAATCTAGAGACAACCATGTGTGGTTTTCTTTAAGCACACGTGTGCATAGACAACATACAGCACACACGTGTGTAGATAACACACAGCACACACATGTCTGTAGATAACACACAGCACACACATGTCTATAGATAACACACAGCACACACATGTCTATAGACAACATACAGCCCTCCGGGAGTGCCTGCCAGGGCACCCTGGCACAGACAGGCTCAGCACCCAGAGCTCCTCTGCTGCCCAGGAGCTCCCCAGCCTGCCTGGGGCAAGGCCTCAGGCACCCCATGGGGGACACTGCACCCTCCCTCCTTCCCCAGCCCTCCAGAGCCACCTCCTGATGTCCTGCCCTGCCCTGGCTTTGACACCCATCAACAGGTCCTGGCGCTTTGAGGGCTCTTGCAGCAGCAGGGCCCTGCAGCTGGGGGGGCTGAGACTCAGAGCTGCTCCTCTCCCAACAGATGTTGCTGCTTTCACACCAGCATCTCTGCCAACTCAAGCAACCAAGAGGGCCCAGACCCTCGGCAGAGGGAGCAGGGTCAGCATAGGACTCGGCACCTGCAGAGAACAGTTTCTGTTGGCTTCAGAGGCAGGGACAGGGACATGCCATAGGCACCTGAGGGTGGAGGAGCAGGATGACTCTTGAGCAAAGCCACAGCACAACAAGCAGCACTGATGGCTCAAACTTCCCTTCAGCACCACAGCTGAAACCACATCCAGCACGTCCCTCCCGGCTGGTCCCGTGGAGCAGCCTGGACCTCCCCAGCAGCTCCTCATCCCTCCCCACCCCAGCTGCTGTCCCACCAAGGAGTAAGAGGAGCCCAGTGGAGCTGCTGACCCTGGGGCACTTACCGAGTGGCAGTGGGGTCTGGGGGTTCTGGGAGCAGCACAGGCAGCACCTCCAGCCGCAGAGCAGAGCAGGACCTGAGTGAGCTGCAGCCCTGGGAGGCAGAGCTTATTTGTGCCCTGAGTGCTGACCCTGCCCAGCAGAGCTGCAGCTTCAGCTCCTCATGCACACACAGCGCAGGGAATGAGTGTGTGCAGCACTGATGGTTCCAGCCCAGGATTTCCCCTGGGAGTTCACTGGGAGATGTGTTTATGGCCCCTGTGATTTATGGCTCAGAGCTGCAGCCTCTGTGCTGCCAAAGCATCTCATTTTCAGGGGGAGCGTGGAATTGTGGTGGCAATGAGGCTAAATCTTGCAGGGGAAGAGTTTGCAGCATTGCTCTCAGGGGATGACGGGGGGAAGGTCTGTTTATATCTCCCTCTGACCAGTGAGACATGAAATGGTTAGTTAAAACCATAATCTATTGCACAAGAAAAGCAAAGTGGAAGTTACAAAGGCAAACAGTCCTAGGAGTGGATGTGCCCTCAGATGGGTCAAGAGATGTGTCTAGGTGTCTTGTGGCAATGAGTTTATCTTTGCCACCTCAGTGGTAAGGTAGAAATTGCCTTTAACCTCTATTTCTGTGCCTGGGCCAGGCCATGGGAGAGAGAGTGGGTTTGTCTCATGTGTTGTGTTTGTAGGAAACAACCTCTGGCACTGAGAGACACTTCTGCAGTCATCGGATCATAGAGTCATGGAATATCCTGAGCTGGAAGGACCCACAAGGATCATCTAAGTCCAACCCCTGCCCAGGACACCCCAAACACTGCTCCCTGAGCCTGAGAGCATTGGCCAAATCCTCCTGGAGCTCTGTCAGCCTTGGGGCTGTGCCCACTGCCCTCGGAGCTGTTCAGTGCCCAAACACCTCTGGGGGAAGAACCTTTCCCTAATCTCCAGCCTAACCCTCCCCTGACACAGCTTCAGCTGTTCCCTCATCCTGTCCCTGTCCCAGGGCACAGAGATCAGAGCTGTCCCTGCACTGCCCCTCAGGAGGAGCTGCAGACCCTGCTGAGCTCTGCCCTGAGTCTCCTCTAGGCTGAACAACCCAAGTGCTCTCAGCCACTCCTTGTGTGGCCCCTCCAGGCCCCTCACCATCTCCATGTCCCTCCTCTGGATGCTCTTGAAAAGGAAGAGGATGGAGAAGAAGGGAAGAGAAGAGAAGGGAAGAGAAGGGAAGGGAAGAGAAGAGGAGAAGAGAATCCTGCAGTGATGTCTGTGCTCTGCTCCCACCAAGCCACTCCCGCTGGGGTTCTGCTAATCCCCTTTCCTAGCCCCGTGGCTCCTGAAGTGTGTGGGAGGTGTGAGGAGCTGTTCAGCTATTTTCTCAGCTTTAAGAAACAGAAAAGCTTTTCCCAAAGCCTGGCTGGGCTGGTGTGGGGAG